GTTAACAATTTCACAGTTAGTAATATTATTACACACTCCTGTACTCTCCTTAAAACTGAAATGGTGGAAATGCTCACTTTTCTATGTTCTTGAGGTGAACGGTTCTGGACGATTAAATCGTTTATGGCGATATTTTCAAGTGGAAAATAGTGAACAGGGAAGAATCAATATCGCACAAGCCTCGTGCATGCTAATCAGTCTACCTAGTAAAAACCATTCTACCGTCAGACAGATCGCACCTCGGGCTGATGTGTGGTGCAGCAGGTGCTATAGTTTACAGCATCACAGTGCGTCACACTGCCACAAAAGGTGTTTAGTTCAAACATGGCTACATACCTAATGAAAACTACTACTGTAGGTAGTTTGAGGAGTAAATGAGGAGGGCAAAAACGAATAAAAAACAAACAAAACAAATAGCCTACACATGAGATCTGCTTGTCCTGGATGCTTGGGCTACTGGTTTTTTCACTTCTGTCCATGCATATATCAAAATAATTAATCAAAATAAATATAATTAAATTGAAATATTATGGTGAGTCAAACAAATATGCTTAGCAAACGCCATCTAAGGCTACATGCATGTGTAGATTTGTACATTTTATATCATTGTACTACTGTCATTGGTGAAATTTCACTGAAATCGAATTTCACTGGTGACTGCTGCTGTCATTATTTTTTTCCTTTCCATGTTTGCATGCTCAGTACGCGCTGATGTCCCCAGAACTCCTAACATGCCCTTCTCATGCCCCTCTGTGACATCTCTGTCCTGCCACAGAGATACACCGTCACTCACACTTAATGGCATTCTGCTGTTTACAAGTGGCCGCTTCCTTGCCGCTTCCTTGCCATTAACGTTGTGTAGACATGGGCTCATTGTGAAACACCTCCCCCCTCTTCTTCCTCAGTGGAACTGGGTCTGAGTGGTCTATCGCTTTATAGGCTATATTCTCTTACACTCTTACACACTCAAAGGTTTATATAGACTCCACTGATAAATAGAGTGTCTCCCTGATGCATTGTGGGAATAGTTTTGGGTTTTGTGATGGAGTGCAGGTCAACACTCCCAGCAAGCCTGTGGCTCTGGCTTTAAAGGCATAGTTCAGTGAAAAAAAAATTAATTTACACAATTTTCCACTTACTCCAAAATGTAGTTGTACAGTCTAGATATGTTTGATGTCTTATTTTTGCTTTTAGTTTTGCACTATGAGGTTAAGGTACACTATATGGCCAAATGTTTGTGGACACCTGACTATCACACCCAGTTGCCTCAAAGATGGAAGCACACGATTGTATAGAATGTCTTTGTATACTGTAGCTTTAAAATTTCCCTTCACTGGAACTAAGAGGCCCAAACCTGTTCCAGCATGACATGAAGCACGACAAGCTCCATGAAGACATGGTGTCTTAAGGTTGGAGTGGAAGAACTCGAGTGTCCTGCACAGAGCCCTGACCTCAACCCCACTGACCACGTTTGGGATGAACTGGAACAATGACTGCACCCCAGACCTCCTCGACATCCCAACATCAGTGCCTGACCTCACTAATGCTCTTGTAGCTGAATGAACACAAATCCCCACAGCCACGCTCCAAAATCTAGTGGAAAGCCTTCCCAGAAGAGTGGAGCTTCTTATAACAGCAAAGGGGACTAAATCTGGAATGGGATTTTCAACAAGCACATGTAAATGAGATGGTCATTTGTAGTTCAGTGGTTAAAACATTGGATTACCAAGCAGAAGGTTGTGAATTCAAATCCCATCACCGCTGGGCTCTTGAGAAAGGCCCTTAACCCTCAACTACTCAGTTGTACAAAATGAGGTAAATGTAAGTCGCTCTGGACAAGGGTGTCTGCCAAGTGCCATAAATGTAAAATGTAACGGTCAGGTGTTCACAAACTTTTGGCCATATAGTGTAGCTAGGGAGAAATGGAAGTAATATCAGTAAACAAAATCAGTAAATATCTGCACATATACCACAGTGCTGTTGAATTCTAATTCTGAAATGTAAACACAGACCCTCTGCCTAATAATAATGTTAATATGGTGATGGTTTCTGTAAGGAGATGTTTATTTAACATTTATGGAAGGAGTCTCCAGTGTCAGCACTTTGTAACAGTAAGTGTTGTGCCACACCAGGTCAGAACACTTTTCTGTTTTTTTTTTCAGTAACATGACAGTCTACATTTTTACCTCATTAACTATAATCAGATAAAAAGTAAAACGTGTCATTCTATAATAAATAAAAGTTTTAACTGTTGGCGAATTGCTGTAGTATAAAAGGAATAAGATACTCTAGGATGTGTTAGTTATGGAAAAAAGTCCACTTTTGGGTGCTAACAATACCTTCGCTTCAGGCCATGCAGATGTGGATTACTTTCCTATAAAAGCACACCGTGTTGTGTTTTATTTCTTACATATCATTCTTAGAGCAAGTCCAGTTCTTCAGTGATGTCACACAGACTTGCCCATGTGGTTTAGGACACAGCATGACCTACTGTCATCTCTAAATGTGAACAGCGCTTCACTGTGTAGCTGGATGCTGTATCATTGTAAGGACAGCCATCTTGGAAAACTAGAATTTTTTTTTTTTTTTTTTCCTTGGTGCACTTTGTAGTAAAAGATGCCGGAATTGTAACAGAAATTCTTTCTGCATGATTTTAGCTGATCTCAATTCTCATTATGTTTTTATGTTTAATATTTTTTTCTACATATTACTCAGCCCTAGATGATGCTAATAATTTAATAATAAGAAGAAGAATGCTTATAAAAATAAAATAATTTAAAAAAACTGCTCAATTTAAGGATGCGCTCTTTCTCAGTCTTGGCTGACTAACAGCCTTCAGGGCTCGTCTTCACATTTGAGTGTGTGTTTGTGTATCAGGGGAGCTGAGGGGGTATTAGAAGAGAAGGAAGATGATGAGATGTCTGTCTGTGGTCTGTTTGGCGTTGCAGGCTGCACGAGTCCTGTGATACTTGATCTGATGTTAATGTGCTGCTGTGCGCAAGCGAGAACGTGAGCTAGAGAGGGAGTGAGAGACGGAGAGGGGGAGATGGGCAGATAATCCCGTCTGCCTGATGAGATTGAAGCCCCAGGATTGATTGATCGCCTAATCATAGGAGGAAATGGGCCTGAAAATGAACGGGACTTTGCCCTTGGTGCACCGCAGAGCCCAGGCAGCAGGACCACGGCATTGTTAGAGCTGCAGCTAGACACGGCCCTTAATGTGCACGGGACCTGATTTCATTTGTGTCTGATATACAGTTATACGATCCCCACTAAATGATCAAATAAAAAAAAAAAGGAAGAAGTGGAGATTGGTGCGAGGTGTAAATCAAGCTTTATTGCTGGAATATTACTTTTTTATACTGTCTGAAATTGACGCTTTGAGAAAGGTGAAAGGGAAAAAAAATCCAATATGAATTAGAATGGGTGGATGCCTGGAGACAGAGAGAGAGAGAGAGAGAGAATGAGCAAGTGGTGGGAAAGAGGGAGTACTGCAAGGTGATACAGGATGTTTTTATTGGAGCTGTTGCTTTTTTTTTTTTTTTTGTTATAATTAAGTTTGCCCTATCAGTCATTTGTCTTGCAGATTAGTTTTTTGGAGTTTATAAAGCGGGAGTATGGGAAAATCCTGTAATGTCACAAGATAACACAGTTTAAAAAAAAAACTTTAAAAATGTACGCAAGATGGAAGCCTCTGTATCTGTGATTAAAGGAACTGTTCATCCCTGAACTGTCCAGCTGCTTCAGTTTAAAGCCTGTGCCTTTTGCCAGGTATTACTATAACGTCCAAGTCTTAGCGAAACTTAGCATGTTCAAATCAGCCAGTGTACGGATTCAAAGGTTAAATGAATACTGCAGCATTTATAACTGAATCTCTAAAACTGCTGCTGTGATTGTAAAGACTGTCCCGTTGCTCATCCCAGGAGTCTTATTCACAATTCATGGTATTAAGCCAGTTGTTAAAGGCCTTCTCTCTCTATTTTTTAATATGTGACTGTACACTGGACCAGTAAAGGTGTGAGGAGACAGACATGAGAGAAATTCTTACCAAGACTGTTCTTAAGGGATATTATTCAAATTTACTCAAGTTTAATTTATTAATGAACGGCATGTCGCACACTTTAACAGTTCATAGTTAGATTTAATGTTGTGGATCATCCGAGAGACAAGTTAGTTCCTGTTGTCGCCTACGTTATAGTCATTTCTCCACCTCTCTCTCTCTCTCTCTCTCTCTCTCTCTTTCTCTCTCTCTCTCTCTGGGAAACTTTGTAAAGCACTGTGACTGTTACAAAGTGCTTACAACTGAGACTCCTTCCATAAATGTTAAATAATTGTTTCCTAACAAAAAACGTCACCACATGAACAATTATATGTTTTACTTGTTAAAAAACACAATTTTTAGTTTTGTTTATTATTAGTCTCAGATTATGTGGAGGGTCCACCACAGAAGTCCCTGTGTATGAGCTGTTACTATAGAAATAATGACGTACTAGAATGAGCGCATTAGTATAAACCTATCATTTATGTTACAGGTGGAACTACTGTCCGAGCCGTGTGACTAATCAGACTAATCAGATTTGAGAATTCAGTCGCACTGTGGTATAAACAGGTTTAGAGCTTCGTTGTGGATGCTACACATAAAACTGCAAGTGGAAATACAGCCACGATGCATGTGAAGCAGATTTAAATCTTATCTCTCAAACCACTTCAGTAGTTCCCGAGGAGGTATATTTTAACCATGTTATAATAAATAAATCCGTCTCTGCGAGCTACATTTGACAAACTCCTCCAGCCTGAGACTTAAAAATTGTTAGCATGATTGGAAACAGCATGAAAAATAAAGTACGATTTCATTTTGTTCAAGGAACACGTGCAGTTCCTGTTTGAATATAATCAGATAATTTGCGTATTAATGCATAATACAGCGATCGGCAGAGACACATTTGACTGCTGTGATAAAAATCTAATCGGAGTGCAGTCCAGATTCTATACGCAGGAAATGGCCAGGTGGAAACAGGGTCTTTTGAATGTAGTATTAAATTAATACATGTTTTGACTAAACATTTGTTGGCAGAGTTTAGCAACTGCCTTTAGAGTGAGTTTGGATTAAACGGTATCTTTTTTTTTCTTTTTTTCCCTCCAGAGAAATGTTTTCTCTTGTCTGTGGTAATCATATAATAATACATATTCTCCAGATGCGGTGGATAGCGATTAGGCTAAAAAATGCTCATAAAAACCGTCCTTTCCTGTTTGAATCACTCCTAGCTGGAGCTTTTTTTTTTTTTTTTTTTGGTATAACTAATCCCCGGATGTGAGAATACATTTCACGTAGACGAGATTAACCTTATTACCAGCTGATGATACGATACGAGTGATTTAGAGTTATCGCTGCCTACCTGTCTGTCTCCTCCTAGAGGAAGGTGTGTGAGCTGCAGTTGTGTGTGTGTGCGTGTGTGTGCGTGTGTGTGGGCATTCGAGGCAGCTCAGTGAGGCTGCTGAAAGTGCCGGAGCCAACTGATCAATGGCATTTATCACCGAGTCAATACTCCAGTCTATATCACTCTCTGTTTACTCCTGCTCCGCTAGTGGCATGTTAAACTGAGCGTGCTCTAAACTGCCACCCCGGGGCCTCTCTAAAAGCCACCCTCGCCACCACCATTGATTGACATGTCGATTAGCAGAGGAAACTGTTGATAGTGCAGCTCCGTTTGATGATTATGGGCAGCTTGACAAAAGGGCTTTTTTAATTTATACGTTCTATATTAGAGTGCGTGATCAGGCTATTCGTTTTAGTTTTATTTGTTAAGTCGGATTATGACAGACAGATGTAGAAAATGTTCACTTACTTGGATTTATAGTACACAAACACTACATGACAAACATATAAGCATTAGTGCTGGGCAATATAGCAATATAACAGTATATTAGGGCTGCAGCTGGTGATGATTTTCATAATACTGTTAATGTCGATTATTTTTTTAAATGGACTCCAAAAATATTTCAGCATTTTAATCAACTAATACTACTACAGAACTCTTAACTGTTTTGCAACTGTAACTTCTGACCAAAATAAGTGTCTGGAATCAGTGAATTGACTCTTCAGTGTGAACCGAAAGCAGGATGGAGACTTGATGTATTAAAAATATATATTGTGTGTGCTAAGAAAATCAAACGATGCAGCATTCATCAACCTTGCTGGATGGAAAATAGTTTAACTACTTAAAAGGTAAATGATTCACATAGTTTACACATTCTTCATGACATGAGTTTTGAAGTGAGGGCATTTTTTTTATTATCGATTTTGTCAATTAGTTGTTGCAGCCCTAGACATAATGTCAGTATTGTGATAAATTATTTCGCAATACACTTTTCTAAGATTTAAAAGATGACTTTTTTAATAACAGTTACAAATGCTGAGTCCAAGGTGCTGATTAGATGTTAAATCTTTACAGTTGAATTTGTACAGAATTTATTATTTCTCCTCCTTTTATTGTTGAATTATTGATTCACTCCTGAAGGAAATGTTTAGGTGATGAGAAGATTTTCTGTTCACAGACGGAAAATTTCGTTCAGAAAGTTGTTTGTTGTATCCGGATCATTTTTCTTGCTTTTGTAGGGGTGTGCGATATGACAAAAATATCATATCACGATTCTTGAAGGCATGATAAACCACCAGCAGTTGCACTAAAAAAAAAGCTGTGTGATGATCTATTTAATGTCAACAAAAACTAACCTTTTTATTTATGAAAATAAATAAATAT